TGCGTGTTACATTTAGAGAGAGTTGCATATTCGTAGGAAGAATACGCTTCTGCTAACGAAAGCAATAATCGCGTTTTTTGTTGTGATAAAAGAATATCGTAGCTGCGTGAACATTCGTGGATCTACGTCATCGTCATTTAGGTAGTTAACGAAGAAGAAATTACAGGGACGAAACATATCGTAATAATTCATAGGTTCTATCGTTCTGAAACAAGCTGTTAAAGTGTAAAGTGCAATGATTCTCTTCGATAATTTTTTAAATTTTTGTACAGAGTATAAAACGAACGATTTCTTTCATAGAACAGTGTAACATATCAAGTTTTTGGGACAACAGCCTTTCAAACGTCGATGAAACTTCAAGCGTGAACGAAATTTTCGTTCATTGGTTCTTTTTGCTTCGAATGGTTCTTCGCGCGATTCTCACGCGCGACACGATATTCGAAGGAGAAAGAAACGATGATTCTACGTTTCAATTGCAAAAACGAAAGCGACGCGAATAGAATTACAAGGAATTAAGAGAGCTAAGTGGCGCGAACATCGTTGAATGTTATCTGTTGAATGGCGAAACAGTTTGATTCAACTAGTCGTGAAATTATCTGAGATAATTTTGCGCAGTTGCACACGGGGTAAATAGAATAGTTTCCGCGAAAACCCGAGATTCCGTCGGCTAAGTTGCCGAACAACTTTGCAAAGTATCTCGAAGTAAGTAGATAGTAGCGTAAAAGTATACCGTACAACCGAGCGTTGTGCGAAAACATCTTAAAATCAAAACGTATGTAGTTTCCAGAAAATCTTTCGACAACGAAATCACACGCAGTAAGAATCATCGAGTTTTAGATTTCATTTTCTTTTTTTTTCTTCAATTAATAATAGTAGTTTGACCTCGCAACGATGCTGAAAAATATTCGTTTCGTGCAGCTAATTAAGAACACATGATTGATTGATTGATTAATTAATTGGAGCATTATTTACCGATACTTTTGACCATTTCATTTAACTATCTTATTAATAGTGAAAATTTCGAATAATCACAAATTTTAATATGAGAGGAATAATCTACTTACTGTCAGTCAAATAATATAATTTAAATGATAGCTTAGATAAAAGAATCTTCAGTTGACAAAATTGAAACAACGACGCGCGCGTGAAAAATTACCAGGATACGCGTATAATAGTATTGTAAGAACGAGAAAGACAAACTACGAGGAAGAACGGCGCAAGTGTGGAGCGTAAGGGGAAACGGATTGTCCATTGTCAGACACACTCGACATCCAATATATCAGGAAATGTATCTTGCTGTATCTTTACGCTGTTTGCGATGTTAGAAAAGCGTTTCGAAAGAAACTGTTGTTCCGGCTAGTAGCCTGCAAAAGCATTCCTTGCTTTAAGAGAACGTTAATTAACTAATTAAAATTAATTGAAGTTATCCGTGCAGCGTTCGAACGAGATAGGCGACAGACGTTTATCGCTTTCTTTCGCAAATTAGCAAACGGATAATCGACGATTATCTCGTTTCTTTTCGTTTGGAGATTTTGGGAAATTCAACTTTGAAAATTGACAACGCTCGAGGTCACATGTGTGAGCAGCAATTCCTCCATCGGGGCTCAGAAAATTTTCTAACGACGGAGAGAAATACGACTTTGGATTCATTTCTTTTCGCCAAAATTCGAAAAAAGGAGAAAGAGAAAGTCGATTCAACGATGGTAGGAAATTTTTGCAAAAATTGAAGACACGCACGATGCAAAAAAAAAAAAAAGTCGGGAATACGGAGAGAGGGGAGGAAAAGTAGGAGAGCAGCATCGATGATTCTTACTGCATGGCTCGGACAGGAGAATCGAAAGCCGATATAGGTTCGAAGACACGCGTGGAGTTGCGGAACTGAGGTCAGGGGTGTATTCACCTGGCGCCGCCCCAAGTCACGCCTACCTGCGCAATTCCAAACGTAGCCAGGAACGCCTACGCGTGCATTGAAACACCGCCACGCTCCCACCTACACGACCTACATACAGTCTTGGCCAAAATTTCGCTGGACGTTGGCTTCGCCCCTGGACATCGTCCGACACGTACCGGTCGTAACCGTTTCGACCTCTGATTCGAGTGGGAGTTTTATCGAATCCGCGCGCCGTGATTCGCGTAACACGAGCCGTTTGCATTTCTTCTGTTTTTTTTTTTTTTTTCCTTTTATTTCCACGGCTGTACGTAGCCGGCTCGGCTGATAATATCACGCGTAATCTCGCGTCCGATTGGCTCGAATCGAACCATTAAAAGGCCATCGTTGCGTGTCGAACGACGCGATGCGTCATTCGCCATTTATTTTATTCAGCTTGTTCGCGATTTTCTTATTCGACTCGAGAACCGAAGATGGAATTGCAAGCGTCTGCTTGATAGTTGGAGCAACAGAGTTGCGGAGCTCAATGACAAACTGATTCTTTTGCCACTACCTAATAACTCGATCGACTCATCTTCCAGTACCAACTTGAAATCTAATCCTGCATCGCAATTTTACGTTGCTCGTCAGTATCTTTTCTTCAACTCGAATCTTTGAGAAACTCATCTCATCTCTTACGTTGCTCGAAAAACATTTTTCAACCCCTGTTAATCTGCCTCTCGAAGCAGAGGGAAGGCAAAGAGAAATAATAAATAAATCAATATCGTGCGGCTTTGCAGCCGCATAACGAACGACTGAACGAGCCAGTAAGAACCAGACGACGTCAGAGCCAACCCTTCTCGAATTTTGTCCTCGACTGTATCGACAGGTGAACGCTTAGTGCTGGTTGCCGCGACCCGAGGGACACGTACAACCCGTTCAAAGGTTGTTGGTGTAGGTTGAACGCGCGTGTACGTGAGAACGTGGGTAGGTGGAAGGTGGCAGGCCTACGCCTACCACCCCCGTGCGACCGATCACGCCGAGACTGCTCCTACTACCCCAGTTCTGGGCGACACGCGTTTCGCGAGTTTGCCGAGCGGGTCACCCGGTGACACGTTCCTACGTCTATCTCATACAGCGACCTGGTTATGCATACGTGTGTGTATATATATACATACATGTGTATGTATGTATGTATGTATATGTATATGCACGCTCGGACTTTTACCTAGAGAAAAGTTAGGCTGTAACCTTGGCGAAGTTACCGGAGGGTTGCGCGACTGCCGCAGGGGCCACGCGCGTTCCTACGCCTCTCTCTCTGTGTCTTGGCAGAAACTTTCACTCTGCTTTTCCGTTCGTGGTTAGAAAAGGTGGAAAAAAAAAAAAAAAGAAAAAAGAAAGAAAGGAAGAAGAGAAGACTCGTTGAAATTTCTTCCAAGGAGGATGCTTTCTTCGATTCGGATGGATGGGCGTCTTCTTTTTTCTTTTTCAACCCCTTGCGCTGGCAACTGGTTCGCGGACCATAACGAGTGACCGAGCCGTATACAATAATTCGTTGCTTTCTTTTCCTTTTGAACTCGTCGGTGTGTCACTGGATAGAAATTATTGAGAAGTAATAAATTTATTATTTGTCTTGTCTGGATTATACTTAAATATACTTAAAATTGAGAAAATATTGCAATTTTTAGACAGCAAATTTTCTACGTGCTTGGCACGTCATTCCAGCGCAAGAGGTTAAAATTGGCGATCGAGTTCTTGACGAACTTGAAAATATTCATTTGCGAATTTCTTTCTCTGACACGAGACAATTTTCAAAGGATGTTGTTCGAACCCACAGTGCCTCGAGTTGATCGACGATACCAAGAACGATAAATTTACGATAGAAAATATCCGACGAGTCCAAAAGGAGCATTTTTTTTTTTTTAATTATCGGGATTTTTTGCAGTGTTTGCCAACGAATTTCTTTTCGACAATTCTTAAACGCTTTTTATGCAACTTGTTCGAACGTCTACGATCTTCCAAAGTATGCTTCAATTTGTACAACGATGATGACACGAGGGACGAGATTCACAATAGAAAATATCCGGCGTTGAAATATCATCCTGGATAAAGAGAGAGAGAGAGAGAGATTTTCCGCTCGCGTCGCAAATATTCTTTTCTCTCGGAGGAGAGTCGTGTTTCGCGTCATCTCGCAGCACGTGGTCGTTCCTTGACAGCAGATTCCACTAATAGGGGCGTGTATCACGATCTCGACCCCTCTCTCTCTCTCTCTCTCTCTCTCTCTCTGCTCCTTTCACCTTTCTCGCTTCGCCTACGCCTATCCCGGAAACGACGAACCGACCTTTTACCCAGAAGGGAGACGGCAGACCGACTGAAAAATGTCGCGCGACGCCTCATTGGACGCGAAAAGTTGCGGCGTGGTTGCGCGCGTTTGAAAACCTGAGCGACCTTCTCTTCCGGGTACTCGGCCCGAGAACGCTGCCACAAACGATTCGTGAAATTTTCTATTAAAGCGTCCTCCTTCTCTTTACCCTCCCCTCCACCGTCGCGAATCTTGCAATTGGTTTTCCCTCATTTGCGCGGACTCGTTCGTTTCCGAGCGGGAAATCGCAGATCTTTTTCTCGACGGCTTAAAAAATAGTTTAGAAAATCTGCTCGGCGGTTTCGTTAAGCGGTGAAATTTCGATCATTTGTTGCTTGCTTGTGTCACTCTCGGTTTTTTTATCTGAAATTATATACAAGGAGCTTCACGCAAGTGAACAATGCAATTAAAATTGACAATAAATAGAAGATTTTTTTTTTATAGAACAACTGGAGTATAGATATCGTACAATTGCAATTCTTCGAAATTAATATTCTCTCCGCGTTTGATCGAGGATAGCGATTTAATGAAAAAATGAGCACGACAAACTTCGAAGTTACTGTCGAAACGCAACCATAAACTTCATTCAAGTTTCGAGAGAATCTTCTGCCTGGAAACAATACGAAGATTGTCAACACCGTTCAAAAATACATTCGCAGCGTTCTCATATTTACGTATTGGGGGAGGGGAAAATATTTCGAATTGCTCGCTGTCATAAAAAAACGAATTACAGAGCAGTGAGTCGTAACTTGAGTCAAACGAACGAACGATCGTCGAAATTATTATTCACGTAAGTGTGAGGACATCCCGAGAGGCTGGAAGATAGTGAAACTGGACCTTTTAATTTTTCAACTCGATTAAAAGCTTGATTCGGTTGATGAACGTGGATTAGATTCGTCATAAATGGAACGGTTTTTAATCAAACTTTAATCTATCGGGTTTCAACGTCGCGGAATTAATTTAACATTCATTAATTACATGAATAAATATTAAATGTTGAACAGATAGCAGGAAGTCGAGAGAGAGAGAGAGAGAGAGAGAGAGTAAGCGTGCCACTCTCGTTCCCATTGCAATAAACTCGTTTAGAGGAATCCGGCCCCCCCCCCCCCCCGGCCCCTACGCCCCTATAAACGCATCGATTCTCGATAAACAAATTAACAGAAATTAAAACGCGAACGAATGGAAATTAAATCAGCGAAGACGTTTCTATTTAATTTGCGGGATACGCGTACGTATATTCTATACCGTAATTACTTTTCTCCATTTAATAATTGCCGCGAGGGGCCGACGCTTTACCCCATAAAGAATCGGCGAGGTTTATTTCATTATCGATATTGGATATCTAAGGAATAAATTGATTGAAGGGTAAATAATATTTGATCACGTAATGTTTATTTACGGCGAATATCCTCAAAGGATAGTTCTCTCAACACGTTGTCAATTCGATTTCTTTCCAACGGTCCACTTTGTATTTCGCTTTGAGGCAAATTAGGTAAATTAATGAACAACGATGATATCAAACGTATCTTCGTTTATTTGTCATTACTGTTGTTGTTACGATTACAATTTGCTTTCTACGATTTTTTAAAGCGCGATAATTCCTTAAACTCGGTTTCCCAACTTCATTCCCTGGGATATTAACTCTGCTTCTATTTTTCGCTCGGTTCGCTGAATTTTGGAGCGAAAGAAAGCAACAAAGTTTCAGCGTTCAGAAACGGGACAACCTTTAGAAATTTATCCGGTCGTCTAAGTAATCTTTGAAACGCGAGCGAAAGCGAAATCATTGTACCCTGGTACTCGCGACGAGGAGTTTGAAAAACTTTTTAGCCACATTCACCGCGGCCTGCTGACTCGCAGTTAGAAATTAGCAGTGTCTTAATTCCTTGATATCGACAGTTGGATGGTAAAGACTGTTGGTTTCTCCGATGAAAAGGGGAGTCGACAAACAAGCTCGTCGTCCCCGTCACCTGACTTCCGCAAAAGCGAACGTTGCGAAAGCTAAGGATACCAGGAACGACGGACGACGCCGGACGACGTTCGTCGATCCTTTTATGCACTCGTCGCACATTTTGGTCATCGGACGTCCGTCGGCTGGGCAATTATCGAAGGGAGATATGCAGACTCGCACTTTTACAGTACTTAGTAAGCATCTCGTTCAAAGTCCACGAATGCTCGTTGCAGGTCGCCTCGTAGCGAGCGTCGAGCCGTTTCGAAATTTTCGCGAGACTCGCCGCGATCGATCGCTCGACGCGCGATAACGAGGAAAGTTATTACATCCTCTCTGATCGGTCGGTCGGGCAGGAAATCTGGGAGGATGGGCTTAAATTTTTGGTAGGGGATATAATTCGTTCGATATAATTAGGGACAATTTGTTGACACTTAGAACTGACAATTAGCGTGCCTTTTTTAGGTTGGGAAATTTTAGGAAAATATTAGAGTATATTGATGAATCGTTGGTGTTTCTCGGTATAGTGAAACTTAAAGATTAATGCGAAGAAGAGTCGGCGACGGATAGCGAGTGAGTGAAGTTTTTCTTCCGTAGAAACGAACAACTGAATCTAGATTAGGAAAGTCTGCTGTGATTTGATAATACGTGAATATGTTATCGAGGACGGATGATAGTTGATTTAATTTCATTCTATTGAGACGAGGTTCTCGCGGTTAATTCGTAGTTATATATAACGAGACGTTACGCACGGTGGGGCAAATTTAACGTAACCAAGTGGCAATTAGCTCGAACAAGTGCAAACTTTATCGTTTGTTCAAATTAACAAAGTGACAATTTGGGCCTCGTGTTCGTGCTCTGATCTGACAACGAAACAAAACGACACGACTGCTCCTATTATTCGCAAAATATCTTTATATATATACATATATATATATATGAAGAATCACTGGAAATTTCTTCGTCTCTTGTAACACGTGCGAACGAATTGAATCAATGGAGCGGCAATTCCACTTGTCGCGCATTCTTCCCCTAATTCTCATATTCTTTCGTAACAAAAGGAGACAATCGGTCTTCTTCTGGTTCTGTCGACGAGCCTCGATCGCCGCATTCACTCCTCGGTTCGTTCTTTCTCGTTTGCTCCGGATACCCGCAGAACAGACACGTATACATGCACACACACACACACACACACATACACACGCAGACAGAAACACACACGCGCGCGTAAATACATAGGGCTGACAATGAGAGACACGTATATACAGATACACGCAGGAACGTACAAGACAACACGAGCAATGCAGTGTTCAAATACCTTGAAAGCCACCCTGTAGATCGGAATCTCGCATAGTACTAAACAGATTGTATAACACTTTAACTAAGCTTTCCGTAACGATAAATACAGAAGAAATGAGCGAAAGGGAAACGAGAGAAAGAGCGAGCGCGCGAGTTACACAGTGAGAGAGAGAAAGAATGAGAATGAAAGTGAGAGATAGAAAGAAAGAGAAAAGAAGGGTGAAAATGTAATACGAGTGAATAAGAAAGAAAGAGAGAAAGAGAGAGAGAGAGAGAGAGAAAAAATAAGGTAACACACACGAAAAAAAAAAAAAAAGATGAAAGCTTGAGACGAGAGGAACCTACGAATTGTTATGTTTTCTACAGTAACGTTTGTACCGACTTACAACAATATTTGTACAATATACGATAATGGAAAAATGAAGTTACGTACCTATACAACATAGGTTATCCAGATGCAATAACTTTTTTAAACGGTATTTAATGAAATGAAGAGAGAAAAGAGAGAAAGAGAGCGAGAGAGCGAGCGAGCGAGCGAGCGAGAGAGAGAGAGAGAGAAGAAGAAGAAAGAAAAAAAAATACCAAGCCGGGATATTTTTCATACTTGTAACGAAGTCAAGCGGGCCGGAGGCCCGCGTGATGCCACATCGTTTCGTTTTTGTGTGCCAACCAAGAGATTTTAGATTTTTTTTTCCTGTTTTTTTTTTTTCTTTTTTCTTTGCTTTGCAGATGATGCGCGACACGCGCGCGACCCGCGTCCCCGAATCTCTCGGTCGCCAACTTATATACTCACTTACACACACACACACACAGGTCGATCGACGCCCCATTCGTCGTATTCGCCAAACCAAAGTGACGAACAAGAAAGAAAGAAAGAAAAAAAACAAGTAGAGTGAGAGAGAGAGAGAGAGAGAAAGAAAGGGAGAGAGAGAGAGAGAGAAAGAGGAACGAAAAAAAAAATATATACGACATGAAAAATGGTGAAAACAGATAAAAAAAAAAAATGTATATGAGAAAAGCGTATATTCCAGCACTTACACCTCGACACTCAGCACTCAGACGTCCAGATCGCTTGATTTATCGAGTAAAACGCCTAGTGATTAGAGACGAGATATGCGACATTGTTGTGAGAGAAATAATTGCGCGTAGCTAGTTTGCCTCGGTCGCCTCCGTTTTTGTAGGAAACCACTCGTACGAGATCGCGCGCCAGAAGCTAGGCTTCGCGCGAGACGCTGCGTGTCGTTCGCGAAACCGAGCGTGCAACTTTTGCAACACGATGACGCGAAAGCTCTACCTTGTCGAGGTCGAAGGTATATAGTTAGCGGTTGTACGTGATTTCTTTTTTTTTCTTTTTTTTTTTTCAAAGTCGGAGGACCGCAGGGAATTTCGAAAGGGAAACGACTTTCTCGCGGATTCATATTTCTGAGTGAAAGTGAAAAAATGAAAATATAAAACGAAAAATATTAGGTTGGCCAAAAAGTAACTGCGTCTTTTTTTTTGTGCGCATGAGTAAAGGGCGAATTTTTTCGCGTGAAACAAGAGCTTTGTTAGACTTTCTTTCTCAACGAGAAAAAAATTCTAAGATTCGGTATCCTCAGCAAAATAATTCTGACACTGCCCGTAGTTTGAAGGCTTTCTCACCATACAGGTTAGATAATTCTTGGCAAAATATGATCCTTTTTGTCGGCAAACAAACAATTGTAAGCGAAATCGTGCGAATGTTCTTTTTCTAAAACAAGCTTGAACAATCAAACATCAGATTACAGAGTAAGTTCGTGATTTAAAAACGGGGTTAATGACGTTTGTCAGGAGAGAGTACAACTATTTTTCGGCCAACTGAATAGTTTAATTTAAAAAATGAAAACTGAATACAAAATTCGTTTAATCGATGTATAAACTATTTTGGATGTTTCCTTGGAATTTCAAAGATACAGTATACCTTTGAATGTTAGATATTTTCTTAATTAATTGGAATTTCGTTTTTTTTTTACGACGCACGGAGATTATATGTGAATGTTACTCGTAATTAACGTGCGACGACGTGTCGTAATTATTGTCATCCAATTAAATGACGTCTACTTGTAATCCTCGTGCGCGTTATTGAATTCTAACATTCAGCGCCCACATCAGCGTTCCACATCGTGTTCATTGTTTCTTTGAGTAACAAAAACGAAAGATTCAGCGGCTTTCGCTGATCTAATTTCCCCTCTAAAATTCACCTCCGAGCCTCCGAGATTGTCCAACGAACGGCGCAACAATTATGCCGAAAGATCATGCAAGAGTTATTATTGGAGCACGTACGTCATAGAGAGAAGAAAAGAGGTTCCGCGAGGACAGAAACAAGATGTTTGAAGGATTTATCTGGTCGTACGTGTCCCGATTCGTTCTCGAATCGGTTGACAAGTTCCTCGAGGAACGTGAAGAAGCGCGCGACGCCTGTGTCACGTACGATGTATGTCAATGTTTTTTTTTTTTTTTTTTTTCTTTTTTCGAACGGAGAAATCTTCGCGCCATCGCGTGATTAAAATTTCGTCCTCGTGATGTAAAAGTCCAAGGGACGAAATTTCCTTTTTCTTTCTCTTTTTTTTTT